GCATTATAGTATATAGGCCGCACTATTTTCATTTATTAGAACAGTGTGCTCAACTTAAATAAGAATCTAGTATTCTTTATAACTTAATCTAATCTTACTACGTGATATTAATCCTCACCTTATTAACTATATCTTAGCACTATTCCCTATCTCCTTAATTAGGACCCTAACTATTATAGTAACCTTTATTATCTCGTGATAGCACCTCGTTATATATAGAGCCTTCCTTCTAAGAGTATACTAAGAACTTAGCTATATAAATAACCTTATAACTCGGCTTAAGTATTATAAATTAGACTCGCTAAGGGTCTTATATACTTATAGCTCTTCTAAATCGATTCTTATATTAAATCTTTATAATCTAATTATAGTAATCTAGTGGTAGACTCTAGATCTAGTATCTAATAGGTTATTATATTACCGCGATATCGATCCAGCTAATTATTAGTATAGAGTCTATATTGCGCTAACACTACTAATATTAAAGTTAGTTATTAATTTCGATTCTTATTAATAATATTAATTATCGACTTAGACTAGTGTTTCATTTAAAGATAGTTAGTAGTTTATAATTCGTGAACTAATTATAAACTAGTGTTTATATACTTTCAGCTACTATTTAGTAAGGTTTAGTGAATTAAATAATTAATAGTATTCAATCTATAAACAGAATCGACTATTTAACTACTATACTAGTAACTACTAACTAGATTACAATCGATCTACAAACTATAGCAGCTATAATAGCTAACGCTAGCGCTAAGCGCTTATATCAATTAACTATAACACTAGTAGGCTTATTATAACTAAGGGTAGAGGCACTATAAGGAATATAGTAGAGAATAGAGGCTATAGGATTCTTCTATTATATAATTCTGCTATTTTTAGTAGTATAAAGAAGCATCTTATCTATTATTATGCTATATACGCGGCTAAGGCGTAGCGCTATAATTATAAGCAGCTTAACTATATATAACGCTCTATAAGCGCTCTACTAATAGGCTAAGGAAGCTAATATAATTCTTATTACGGGCCGATCTAGTTAAAAACATTAGATCTATCTTACGGGAAAAGTACTTTATAGGGAGAGAGTAGGAGTGGGAGTGATATTAGAACCTACTTATGTTCTTTAGTATACTTAAGGGTAATCTTGTACTTTAAATTTTAAATACTTAAATCTGCACCCTTAGTTAAGGTTAGTTCTACGTCCTTCTAGTAAAGGCACTAAAGTCCTATATAGAGAGTTAAGCGAGTGATATCTCTAGCCCTAAACACACATACGGACTAAAGTACAACCCCTAGTAGCCTAAGTAGTACTTAGTCCTATAATAGATAGCCTTCTATAAGAGCTCACTCTATTTAGACTCTAGCTATCTTCTAGATAATAATAAAGCCTAGCTATTCCCTCTTAAACTATCTATTTTATATAAGCAGCTCGTGCTAGACAAGCTAGTCTAGGTGTATCCTAATATAGATAATCTTATAGTTAATATAGTTCTGCTAAAGGTTATAATACTTAAACTATAGAAGATTAATAAAGTGGATCTAGATACTCTTTATAGTTATAAGTAAGAAAGTATGTTTACTTAAAATAGCGCTCTTTATTCTTTAAGCTTAAGTATTAAGAAATCGAAAGATAAGCTCTCTAGTTAGGTAAGTTATAGTGCTAAGATAGCGAGAGCTATTAGTAAGAGCTTTAAAAGTACTTTTTTAGGTAGTAGTAGTAGTACTTACTCGTGGTTAATAATCTTATAAAATATATTCTATATTATAGCTACAGCCTTAAGCCCTTAGCGAGTCTCTAGAGGCACTATAAATAAAAGTTAGCTCCCTTGTGTTCTTTTTGCTTAATAGCCTGTTAGTAGCCTAATTGCAGATAATTATATTAGTAGGACGCTTACCAATATTTATATTTAGCTAAAGGAAGAGACGCGTATTAGTATTATTATTAATAAGGTTCTTAAAGTCGGACGAGTTAAGATTATAAAGGAGCTTCTTACTATCTATAGTGTAGGAATCGACCCTATTAAATTAGAGGGCTCTCTCTACAGAGAATTCATAGTGGAAGGAGTAAGGTTAAAAGAAGTGAGGTGGCTAGGCGCCTACTAGAATTAGAAGTTGCGCGCATATAATATTATCACCTCTAACCTTTAAGGAATAAGAGTAGTAGAGGGTGAAACACGTAGAGTTAGTTTAATATAAGCTTAGAGATAAGGTTTACAGTGAGATATAAAATATAAGATAGATTAGCGTTTAAGAGGCGGGCTTTTATAGGAGAGGTGGATAGGTTAGAAAAAGGGAGTAAAGTAAAAAGGAAGAGAGTTAATGTAAAGCAATATTATCTATTAGTAGCTTTAGTAGGGGCTAGTGGTGGTGTGCTTTAAGATCTATTACCGCTATATTGCGAAGTTAAAGGCCAGCAATTTTGCTAGTATAAGCTTTAGCGCTATTTATAGTCCGACCATCCCACTATATACTAGCTTTAAGAGACACGAGGTATATAGAAATTGAAATGGAACTAGCGTCTAAAATCTCCTAGGTCTTGCGCCTTTGCCTAACTACATAATATTACAGCTAGCTATAAGTCTTATGTCCTTAGTGCTTCATGCTCTAATCTTATAGGAGATGTAATCCTGCCTTAAATCCGCCGGGATTATTAAAAAGCACCTTTCATGCAGCGAAAAGAAATAATGCGCCTAAGTATTAACGCCTAGCTTGTAAAGCTTTTTGCTTAAAAAGAGCGCGCGGTGGCTTGGCTTGGTGTTGTAGCTGGAGCAGGCCGAGCCGCCGAGCCGCCGAGCCGCAAAGCCTTAAAAGTCACTCGAAAAGTACTTTTCGAGCGTAGCGAGGCCGGGGGGGTTTGGGGGGGCACCCCCCTATAGAAGATTGGTGGTCGGGTCGCCTACGGCGACAGGATGCTGTCGCTTCGCGAAAGGAACGATGCCGCCGCTGCGTCGCTACGCTCCTCGCAGGCGGCGGCGGCAGCGGCGGCGGCGGCGGGGGTAGGTGGTCACGCTAGCCGCCAAGCGGCCAAGCCGCTAAGCCTTAAAAGTCTGGTCACTCTGTTCCCCATACTATCCGTGGCCGCTAAGATGGTTGGGAGCGGATGGATAGCTGAACAGTGTGTGAGACGGGCTGGGAACTTTTTGGATGGAGCTACGAGGGGCTTGGCGGTGACTCCGGCGACTCCTTCAGGCGGCGAGGCAGCACGACGCATTCCAAGCCATTGCGCCGATTTTGCCATTGCAGGCTTCAGTAACGGGCAAGTTCTAGTTGTAGCTATAGCTGTGCACGCAGGATCCCGGTCTGAAGTCATTCGAGGATTATTATTTGAGGTGAGCTAGCTGTGTATCATCTCATTCATTCATCCGCTCATCGACTACTAACCCAAACGCCTGACATAGCCTTTTCCTATTCCATCCCGCATATGCCGGTGTAAAATCCGAAAGCACCCCTCCCGATCCGAGTCCCAGAGCTCTTGCAAAGACCGCGTTTAAAAATACTCAAAGTCTAAGCTCTGCCATCCCGGTGCCTGCCTCAGTACTTTCCATTTCCGCTATAATATGTGTGGCTACTGCCATGGCCGTACCCCTGCTGCCCATATCCGCCCTGGCCGTGACTGCTCGATCCGTGGCTGCTGTAGCCACTCTGCGAATGATGATCGTTCTTCTTGCCGTACTTGAGTTTGTCCTCAAGCTTGCTTCCTATGAATGCGCCGGCCAGTGTGCCAATAAGCCCATGGCCGGCCTTCTTTCCACCGAAGTGGCCAGCGGCGCCTCCGGCTAACGCGCCCATCAGTCCTCGTTCGCCATCCTGTGCGGCGGCAGGGTCCGTGGCGCCATAAGGGCTGTTGTTGTCCACTGGGTAGGGCTGCTGGTTATACGCGCCTTGCTGGGGGAACTGGTGAGATGGTGAGGGATAAGCCTGTTGATCGTAGGGTTGTTGGCCGTAGGGCTGTTGTGGTGCGCCGCTGTGTCTATGTCAGATCCAACTCTAAGTTTTTGGAAAAGCAAGAGTGAGACGTACTATTGACCCTGAGGCTGGCCTTGCGAGTAGAAATCTGAGGCAGCGCCAGGTTGCTGGCCGTGCTGGAAACCGCCTTGAACCGGCGGGCCGTACTGGCCTACCTGCTGTTGCTGCTGGTCGTAGCCATACTGGGGTGGAGGAGCGCCATACTGAGGTTGTGGAGCGCCGTATTGAGGTTGTTGTTGCGGCGGGTAGCCTTGCGGCGGATAGCCGGATTGGTCGTATTGAGGCGCGGGTGAACCGTAGTATCCGGACATCATGTAATGCGTAGATAGAGTAGTTGTTTGTCGCGGTGTTGTGGTGGAGTTAGGCTTGGAGTAAGATGCGATGCTTATGGCTTGTGGTGAGGGGCAATCCGAGATGAGGCTGAGTATAGATGACGTATGTTGGGGATGATTGTGGAGGCTGGCGCGATAGAACGAAACCTAGGACACAGATGGAAGGCTGATGAATGACTGACGAGAGGAAAGATCGCCTTTCTTAAGTACTTGCCTCTTTTCCACCTTTACTCTAGTTAGGTACCTACTCGCGGAAGGGGGCGGCTGAGCAATCCATCCGTCCCACCACTTTGCTCAGCCTCGAAGTCACGAGAGCCCTCCAACTCGCTCAGCCCTTCGAGGCAGACCGGCAGTCGGGTCTGGCGCCATCCCGCAGCCGCAAACTCTTGGCGCTACCCTTTTTGGGTTAAGATAGCACAGAAATAGCCCGTTGGCTGCGGTAGCCGCCGCTTTTCCGCTGCTGTGTCCACGGCGGAGAGATCAGAGCGACGTTGGTATCCATCTTACCTTATCGGCACGTCCGTTAGCAGCTGCGACCTTTCCATGCGAACGCATACGGGAGCCTGCATGCAGAAAGGGTGAGATTGCTGCATCTAGTGGCCATGGATCCAGCCGGGTGGGCGAATACGTTCGACGGTTTATCAACATACATAAGCTGCCTTCATCGATCTTCGCAGCAGGAGATTTAACACCAGGGACCTCTGGCTGGCGGTAAAATCATGTCTGCTAACGGAAAGGAATGGGTAGCTCCATGCAGAAAGCTCTCTTGTCTGCTTGAGCAGTAGAATTGAAACTCGGAAGACAAGACCGTCTCCTGCGAGCTCAAGACAAGGTGACAAAGCTCATTGACACCGCATGGGGGGACTTTGGTGAGAGATCGGTCTTGATTTACGGAGTATGGGATCTGAACCGCCAGCATACAATACACCGCGCATGCTTGCTAAAGCTAAACCTATCTCGAAGGGCTAGCCTTCAGGCCATGTCTAAAACGGCAGTAGAGCTGCATTGAAACGAGATCGAAGGTCCTGTCTTCCCAGTCCCGCTTCTACCGCTCAAGCAGATATATCTCCTCATTTCTACTACGAACGTCTCGATAAAGTATCGTCTGGGTGACTTACAAGACTCGATTACGTAGTGACGAGATATTCCAAGACCGTACTCGTTGTACATCCCATGGTGGATAATCCATAGAAATCATGGGCGTCGAATCCTTTGCATTTGTCCCTTTTCCCTCCCCAGGGCAGGCCTTCTTCACCGTCGGTGTCTGCATATTTTCTTACATACTGCTTGTCTTGTTATATCGTCTATATCTCAGCCCACTCGCAGCATTCCCCGGCCCGAAGATCGCTGCAGCAACGCACTTGTGCGAGTTCTACTACGATGTGATTAAGAGGGGCCAGTTTGTGTTCAAGCTCCGAGAATGGCACGCAAAACATGGTGACTTGATTGAGTCTAATCCAGCGTTTGCAATTGCTCATATTCCATCAAGGTCCAATCATTCGCATCAATCCTGATGAGATCCACATTTACGACGCCGACTATCTCCAGTCATCAGTATTCACGGCCAGCAGCGGCAAGCGGCGCGAGAAGTATGAGGTTGCCACAAGAGTCTTCGGGGCGCCGCAAGCTGCCATTGCAACGGTAGATCACGACGTGCACCGGATGCGGCGCAGGGCAATGGGTCGGTTCTTCTCCAAAGAAAATGTACGACGAGTCGAACCCATCATCCAGACCACGCTGCAGCGAATGTTCGCACGGATGCAGGACTACCGAGAGACCGGGCGTCCTCTGACCATCTCACTGCTTTACAGTGCCTTCACCGCGGACGTCATTACAGAGTATGCCTTCGCCAAGTCGAACAATTACTTGGATATGCCCGACTTGAACAAGAAGTTCTTCGACATGATGGTGGGAGTGCACGAGATGGGAGCAGCGGCACGGTACTTCAAGTGGATGATGCCGGTGCTAAACTCGCTCCCGCCTTGGCTTGTCACCAAGCTGAATCCCGGCATGCGCGAGTTCTTCGTCTTCCAGGAAGACATGAAAGGGCGTATCCAGGAGGTCAAGGAGAAAAGCGAGTACTACGGGACACTCACACACAAGACCGTTTTTCACGAGATCCTCACCAGCAATATTCCTGCACCGGAGAAGACGGTCGACCGACTGTGGCAGGACGCGGAGATTGTGAGCGTTGCGGGGACTGAGACGACCGCTTGGACGCTCGTGGTCATTACGTATTATCTGTTGGCCGACCCCGAAGTCCTGAGGAGGTTGAGGGTCGAGCTATTCACCATCACCGAGGAGTCCGTGCCGTGGAAGCGACTGGAGAAATTGCCCTATTTGACCGCGATCATCCAAGAGGGCCTCCGGCTGTCCTTTGGCGTTACTTCCCGCCTGGTGCGTACCTGTCCCGACGAAATAGTCAGGTACACAAACAAGGGTAAGATAAGGGAGATTCCTGCCGGGACACCCATCTCGACCACCGGGCCACTCTATCACCTCGATTCATCCATCTTCTCCGATCCTCTCCGGTTCCGCCCAGAGCGTTGGTTAGAACAAGGCCAGAGCCTCGACAGATACCTGTGGTCGTTCTCGAAAGGATCACGCCAGTGCTTAGGCATGAACCTCGCCTACGCCGAGCTTTACCTATGTCTCTTTGCAGTGTTTCGGAGATACGGCGGGCCTGGAGATCAAAGTCCAAGGATGGAGCTGTTCGAGACATCTGTCGAGGACGTGGAGTTCAAGTATGATCTCTTCGTCCCGTATCCAAAGATGGAATCAAAGGGCATCAGGGTTGTGCTGAAGGATGACTGAGAGGTGGATCTTGTTCTATCGGCACGATAGATTTGGAGATGGTCCGATGCTTCCGGCTTTACCAATTCAACGGAGTTCTCAGGGCCTCCTGAGTTTGCATGCACCTCACTAGAATACAAAGTTGCTCGTTGTGATGGATGGCCTCGGGAAGAAGGGGCACGCGTACAGCTGCCAGAAAGAGCCTAGTTTAGCCCTGCGCTTATCTGCGGGTCCATCGTGGATCCTCCAACTGCACGGAAAACCTCCGCTCCGCAGTGTCACAAGCAGCATGGCCGAATCCCTAGCGATTGCGCATCTCAAACATTCCCAACGACCGTGGGAACCGCCTTGACATACGTGCGGCCTTCAATAGCTGTCAATTGCCTCAAACACCTAAAAGCCTACCCAGTATGGCCATCGAAGTAACGCGGATGACAGAAGCCGACATCGACGGCGCAATTGACACTATACAGCAAGCCTTTGCGGATGACCCCTACAGCAAGTGGATATACAATGATCGCTCCAAGGTAAGTCGTCTCCCTGCTCAAACACCCATCCATCCACTCCCCTTGCACTCCCATTGCACCCTTCTTATAAGTACCCATCCAACACCCCCCAGTTCAACCCGACCCGCAACCGCGCCTCCCTCCGCCTCCGCTGCAACTGGGGCATGACCCACGGCCTGTTTCACGTCGCCAAAGACCCCTCGTCTAGCACTCCCCACCGAGTTCTCGGCACCGCGATGTGGCTCCCACCGCACCCGCCCTCGGAGCCGCAGTCCTGGCCCCTTTACCTCAGCACCTGGACGCTGTGGCTAAACCAGATCTTCATGAACCTGACATACGGCCGCGGCGGACTCAACGTAAAACGGTACTACATCTGGAAAGCCGCACAGGCGGAGGCGCAAGGCGAGCTATGGACGAGTGAAAGGGGGTACTATTTTTGCAACATCGTGACTGTGCTGCCCGAGGCGCAGGGGCGGGGTGTTGGACGCGCGTTGATGGAGACGGTGCTCGAGATGGCGGATAGGGAGGGCAGGTGGTGCTATTTGGAGAGCTCGAGAAGGGTGCCGAATGTGGCTATATATGAGAAGTTTGGGTTCAGGCTCGTTAAGGAGATGTTGTGTGATGATGAGGGTGATGCGATACACTTGTATTGTATGATGAGGGAGCCTAGGGCGGAGCAGGCGGATGAGGGGGCGCTGCAGAAGGCGGATCCGGTGGATGTGGAGGGGGCGTAGAATCCAGAACAGAAGCATGGCTTGGAACGTGCGTGGGTACGAAGCTTCCGACGTTGTTCATTAACTGCGGTCGGCGAACATGCCGGGCAGCCGTAGTGATCGTGTCCTCGTATGCATTATCAACCTTTTGGCATATTCTTAGCGTCACGGGTCTGTTTCTTCTTCAGCGTTCATAGCCAGCTCTTAGGCGCATCCATCGTGAGTTCATCCTAACAAACATTGAAGTGTTGCTTGTTTCTCTCTGTCTTTGTAAACTGCAGTCACTACAACGCGTGTACTTCACTCGCAAGCCGAAGAAACAACATCATAAGTCACAAACGCTTAATGCTTCCCTTCTCACCAAGTCACCGAAGTAGCTCAAGGTTCAACTCGAAATGATACGAGAGTAGCAAGAAGATAGTGTTTGCACGGCCGTTTCAGAGTGTCAATATTCCAACGTCAGTCATCTCACCCCAGAACTCAGCACGACTGCGCGCAATGACCCTTGATGAACCCAGAATCACCAGAGGAGGAGCTTCCGGCTTCTTCGTGACTGGAGCAATCATAGCATTGCTCATGCTGCAGATCCAAAGCTTCTCCCTGTAGTAGCACAGATCGTAGCCACTGATACATAGAGCTCTCAAGAAGAAGTACGGATGGGCTTCCACGCCATTCGCAGTGTTTCAGTTTGGAACAGAGCCAACTGGCCTCGCAAGCCTGGACTATTTGTTCGTATCACGGAATTGCACCAGCGCACTGGGTTCACAAAACCTAGAAGGTCAGTAGATGTTGCAATAAGGCTGAACACTGCATACCTACCTTAAGAATAGCTATCAACCCCTGCATGCGCGGGCAGTTTTCATCACGTGCCCGTGTATCCGAAACCCACCCGTTGATCTGGTAGGCTTTCCCCAAGACACTTTGACTCTATCGAGCTGCCTCTTAGTCACTTCTATCTTACTTGACAACGTCATGTCCCAGGGCATGCTAAATGCCGACACGCCATCTACATCGCTAGCTCAATATCCTGACCCAGACTGGGTTTTCTAATCCAAGCGCTGTTGCTCCCCCGTACATGAGCGCTTTGACAAAGAACACCCATCCTGATTCCGTCCAGGACGACTTGGCTGATGACTTTTCGTCTATCTTTCCTTCCCGTCATCCATGCTCATCGTGTAGTCGTCTCTTTCTTAGCCATCTTACTCTTCCCCGCTCCGTGTCCGAGTCTATTCCGTAGACGCTAGATGGTGCTAACCATAGACGCGGCTATTGTCAAAGCTTGCGCTATCCAATTACTTCAGAATCAGGCCCTTTCATTAGAAACAGGATAGTCTCACCACGATGCCGATCCTTGCTCCACTGCTATGCGGAACACGATGCGGGAGAGCTACACCTCGTCCGATTCGGCTCTTCAAGCCTCCAGTTGAGCGTATTTCGGGACTCTTCAAAGATGCTCGTAGGCTTGCCGTCCTGTCTAATGCAACCATGCCGTATGCATCTCCAGGTCCGAGCCAGACTAACACACATGCTACTGCTCTGTGCAAGTCTCTTGCCCGCTAGATTGGAAGCGGTTCGCGCCGACGGGTCTTCCTGATTGAAGCGGATCGAAACAGTACGGAACCGCGCGGGTTCGCCCAGTTTCAAGATAAATTGTTTATCCCGCAATTGGAACAAAGTGCCCGAATGACATGATCATATTCCTGGTGACGAGGAATTGGTGACCATCCCGGCGCGGAGTGGTCGTGACATGCAGATTACGGCTGAATCGCTCCCACCATCCATGTGAGAGTGCAGTAGCACGTTGCATCGAACACAGCTGGCGTCACGACACGGTCCTGCCGTATCCACCGTCTCGAGCTCTCTGCCTGCAAGGCCTAGCTCCGATGAAAGACTTGACCCCTGGCCAATGCCTGGAGAAATAGTTCGGCATTTTAGGATGCCATTCCGGTCTAAAGTAGACCTGCAGTGAGCCAAGAGAGCCACTTGGAAAGTTCACGCATTCACGTGATACAAAAGTGCTGCTCCTCGGTTCGCCTTAGGTGGATGACTGCTCTACATAGCCTGCGGTCTTGCTTAATCCTTAATATTCCAATACGATAACGGCTGCACCCAAGTAGCTTCAGCTGTTGCTCATAGCTCTGCGCGCACTCTATATGCTGAGCAATCCTTGCGTCAAGGGAAGTCTATGATTATGCTATGGAGAGTTCGAACTCGATCTCTCAACGGCAGCTGACGGGAAACTGTCGACATTACTTTCGTCCGCTCTATCGATCAGTCTCAAATTAAACGCATGTTGCAATTCCTCACAAGCGAGATGCAAATGTCCCATCTCTTCCAAGTCACGTCGCTAGTGATCTGAGAGCCCCTGCTCGTTACCACCTTACACCATATGGTTCGTAGCCGAAATTCTCTCTGACGAAAACACTTGCACAGTCACCGACATGGAGCAAGCATCGAATGGGCAATTGCCACTCACGAACTACCAGCTGAGGGCCCGGAGAGACAAGTCACGATATCTTGAGGAAATCCGCCTCAACTGGGGTGCTGATATTGAGGACCGCATTCCAGCTTCCATCCACCCCCGAAAGACGTTGACTCCACATCGGAAGCCTAGGGTGGGAGACATCGCGGAGATCGAGGATGATCCAAGAAACTGGAGCTTAGAGCTCTTGCGGCTACTCAGAAACCTGTCGCGGAAGCAAGTCGCTAGCCTCGCAACTATGCAGGATCTTGTCGAAACGGAGGTGCGCTTGCGACAAAGCTCTACGACTACCAACAAATACAAGCTGGCAGCTGAGGTTATCATCGATGACGTGCAGCGTGTGATAGACGGAATTGATAAGCGTCATGCTTCGGATGAGACTGAGCGGTAAGCACGCTACTACTCGGTCTTTATACGTTTCGTGCTACCTAGGTACCTTCACTCTTTTCGCGAAACGAAGTTCTGCAAAGCCAAAGCCTTGGACATTTTCCTCCCTATAATGTTGAGTATCTTGGCGGTTAGCACAATCCTCAATGGGCCCTGAAACTTCTTCTATTCGTAGGAAATATGAAGAAATGGGCACTCAGCAGCCCGCCACAGCTACCGACCAGCAGAACATCAAGCTTGGTAGGTATCCAGAGCCCGCAGCCTCCGTTTCCCCATCCGCTTCAGTCCCTCTAGCTCACTCGCTCTCCGCAGAAGTTGTCGAAGACCATTTTCAGTTCGCCCTTCCGGTCTCTCCAGCTTACTCGGCTCCATCCGGATCTAGGACGAACCGGTTCCATTTAGCCCCTCCATCTTATCCATGCTACCCGACTCCAAGCGGATCTACTGGAAATCAGGCCCACTTCAACCCGCAGTCCGCTGATGCAGAGCGCGTCTCAGCAGTACGAACACGAATCGTTGAACGCAGGGCAGCGGCGCTGAGGCTGAGGGCAGACGCTGCTAGGTGGGATGCCAAAGCTCTTGACTTGGAGGCAGACGCAGACGAGCTCTGGATCAGCAAGAAGAGACGAGTGGGATGATTCAGCTGTGGCAGGTGCCGTACCATGATACCCAGTGGATTGGGATCAGTCTATGGGTCAAACGCTATGTGGGAGGTAGAGGATGGGGCTGATGGCTTCGATTGCTGGGGGTTTCGGAATCTATTGCGCTCCTCCGGCCAAGGGCGAAGCGGACTGTCAAGGGGGGCCACGATCTTGGCCGGGAACAAGATCAATCGGGTATTAAGAAGGGGCAACTGAGAGCTGCGATCACGGAGAATACATAGCTTATGCAGCAATTATATTGCACTGGAACACACGGATCCACAGGTCAGCCTCTCTCGTTTTACTGCTGTGTGCGGTGCGCCCGCTCTACCATGGAATGTGGACTGAGCTATCCTCCCTCCTCTTCCCCAATGACCCGCAGGGTGTTGTACTCCGTGTTGACATACGCGATGTCCTGATGATCCACCTGCGGCGAGATTTGCCACATGGTCATTGTTTGCGACTGCTTTTAGATGGGCTACTAGACCGAAAAATGAGTTGAAGTCGAAGAGATGATCTCTGATTAGGGTCTGTTGAGCGGATTTGGTCAGGCCCTCTGCAGCTCGTGACCTATGCGAACACAGCATCTTGGAATGAGCGCGGTAATGATGACCAGAAAACCCAGGTCATCATGTCTTTAAGGTTGGCCTTTGTGGTTCTAAGCGGTTGAGAAGGTCCCCAAAATGGCTCAAACATGCGTAACGACCGATTGCCTGGGAGCGCGCTTCGATCAAAGCGGGATCCGGATGAAGACTGGCTTGATGTAGATTGAGGATCCGTGTGGGAAAGTAGGATGCTGACCTGGTTCTACACATCTCATGTGCCGCTTAACAGGTTTCAAGCCAACGCTTCGCATGCATTAGTCGCTGGAGCCACGACCATCGAGTTGTTGGCTTGATATGCTCCGCAGAGCCCATGCCGTGAAATGGTAATGGCTGGCCTAGTGTCGAGCAAGTGTATGTTAGAATAGAAGTCTCCAAACCCTTGCAAACTAGGCCTATAAGTTGGCTTTTAGGAGTTGAACATAATGGAAAGATGTATTGGACAGTCATTATCTGCACGTTAAGAGACGATATATAATAGTTTTCGTTACATTTGGCTTTCAATGAGATGTTTGCTACTGGGCTAATGAGTGTAAAAGACGGTATGCTTAGTAAAACGAAATACCTTCGGTTGTATACAGGCTTATACTTGTAGATGACTCAATGACAGATGATGTATAGGAAGCAGTTACGGTTGCCACACTTCGCTCACACCTTGAGCGGGTCTTCCAATCCGCTAACTCGTACGATTGCAGGCCGTAACACTCGAGGCCCTGATAGATGACGTTGCAAGACGAACAGCCGCCTGCAGAAGCTTGCTTCAGATCTGCAATCTTCCTTCCGTCACGATTCCACGCTTCTCTGCCACAGACTGGGCACCACTCCGTACGTGCAGATATGCTTGATTGGAACTCCGCACAGTTGATAACCTTTCAGGCCAGGGAGCAGAAGAGCAACGGTGAGTATATATACCTTTACTCCCTTCCAAGGCTGTCTACCAGACTACCGTCTTAGGCTACCACATGATTATCCATCCGCCTGTCCCGCTTCCCCAGAATGCTCCAGCTACTCATCAAATTGTCACGTGATGGGTGTAAGGCCAACCCAGCCTAAGTTGGATGTCTTGCTAGTAGAGATATCTATATCCACTCCGCCTCGACAGAGACTGTCCGGTCCACCAGCCACATATCGATATTCCATAGTCCCGCCCAATACCCGTATCAGAAACGCCAAGCCTCGACAGCCATAGCCAGAGGACAAGAGGGTATCACATTAACCATTCCCCCAAATAACAACCAGATGAGCATAAAGCAAAGCCCGCATCCCGCATCCCACACCAACTCCACCGACTTCCCCCCGATCTCATCATACCATCCCCTAAGCCCCCAAACTCCCATCCATACCATTCAAAAGCACATCCAAAAGATCATAACCCCCCACATCCGGCCCATATGTCGTCTGCGTGACATCCGCGCCGTAAGAGTTCAGCAGCGGATCCAGCGGCAGGGCGAGCCAGTCTGGCATATACCCTCCCCCCGCCGCATCATCGCCCATGCCGTTCCCGAACTGCCCTCCACTGACATTGTTTCCGTTGGTATTGAAGTTCAAATCCCACGTATTACTCGCAAAATTCCACGTCGGCGGCGGCATGATCGAGATGTCGTTGCGCTGCGGATCGTACGCCTCGGTGCTGATGCCCCAGAGCGGATGGGGTGTCACGCGGCCGCCTGTGCCCGCGTTCCCCTGCCCCGGGCTGCTCGGCACGCCAGCATAGTTGCTCCACTGGCCAGGGTTCGGCAGGCCATTCGCCCCTCCTGATCCTGACGGCGGCGGCGGCATCATGGGCGTCTGGAGCCCCGTCGCTAGGATCGGACTCCGGCTCCCGGCCCGCGAGACGCCCACCCCGCCGCTCGGCGCCATGCGCACGAAGCGGCTGCGTATGCGATTCGTAAGCGTGTCGAGGAGGTCCGCGAAGCGGTTCCCGACATGTACGTCATCAACGATACAGGTCCTGAGGGCCTCGACAGCGCGGTCCATGAGTCCGAGCGAGATAGCTACATCGTCTTCCGTCGCGCCGAGCGCGAAGGTCTTGAGCAGGATAATCGCAACGGAGATGATGCGGAAGTAAGTCCGCACGGGCGCGTGCTTGAGGTAGTCGCCTGGGTGTAGGCCTTCGACGACCACGCGCAGCACGTTACGGCACGCGTCGATGACTTCATTGATGTAGGGCCGGTCCGTGCCGTACCATTTCATCAAGGTGGAGAAGGGGATGGCGCCGGTTTCGGATTTGGGGGGTTGGGTGGTGTGCGGGAGGTTGAAGCTGTGGGAGTGGGATTGCTTGGGGGTTTGCTGCGTGCAGCGCTCGACGACGGCTTGTAGCGCCAGAGAGTTGAGGTAGACGCGCGTGTACTCGAACTCGATGGTTAAGATGTGTCGCATGTGGGTTGGTACTGTGGCGGTGTTAGCTTGGGAAGCATTCCTGTTGGCTGGGAGGACACACTACTCGAAGCCTTTTCGAAACTGCGCCTCCATTCCCGCAGCTTGGGCTGGAAGAACTGCAGAAGCTCGACATAACGGCCCGACTTGATCAGATCCCTTGTCTGCCTGCGGTTCGGGAACATCTGTTGATTACCCGTTTCCATGAGTGATGCAATCTGTTTCCACAGGTCGAGAACAAGGTCGTGCGTCCTCTCCCGTGCTGGTAGGCCCCGCGCCGAGCCGCGCATCTCCACTCGCTGGAAGGGCGGCGGCGATCTGAGTAAATCACCCATGGCGGACGGTGATCTCTGATCCAGCGGTCCAAAGACCGACGAGTCCCTATGAGCCTTCGGCAACATTGAAGTGAGACCAAGTCTGCCGCTCGTCTGAGTGACATAGACCAGGAGTAGGTCCTTGAGGTGGTTTCTGCGCCGGTAGTAGGACTGAACCTTCTCGATTGGAACATTCTGGTTTTCGTGCTGGAATTCGGCTTCGCCGGATTCGTCGAAGACACCAATCTCGTAGGCCAGTGCGAGCGCATTGCCAAGTAGCATCCAGCACAGGCGGTCGCTCCTCCAGCAGGGTTCTAGCCAGCTGTCGATCCTCTGCCCGCCCTTGCCTTTCAGCAACTCTGGCGGCTCGCCGAATGCTGGGAGACCATTGGCAGTGAACACGTCATTGTCCTCTGGAAGCAAGAGATCGTCGTCAGAATCATGCGGCGGGAAGTGCATCGCTCGAGGATGCCACTCAGTCAGCAGCATGAGACTCTCAATCGTGCCCAGGGTTCGCAGTCCCTTGCGCGACAATGGGTTGACATCAGCAGCCGGCTGAGCGCCGGCACCACAGAATCCGCCGCCATGCTGCTCCTGACCCCAAATCATGCGGTCGATCATGCCCTGGAGGTACGTCCAGAGCTTCTCATGTATAGCATACGGGCGAGATGAAGCGCCCGGACCAGCTAATTTCATGAATCGCGACGCGACGGTGAGCATCGTGACGGCCAGCATTGGCTCTTCGGAGAGCAGAGTGACATGGGTAGAATGATGGCGGAAGTCCGGTACCACGATGGGAGTCAAGGGCGACAAGTACTGGTAGAAGTATTCGATATAGGCGATGCCTTCCCGAGCGGTGAACCACCCAGCGCGCACGAAGCGGAAGCGCGACCACGCTTTGATGGCCTGATGGAAGGTTGCCTCCTCGTCTGCCACACCCGTGCCATTGGTGTAGGTTCGCGTGATGGCGGGGTCGAGTACGGCTTCTGGAGCAGAACGAGGTTGTTCACGGGGATCGAAGGTCCGTAGGAGGTGGTCTCGGGGACTCGTGAACATGGTCTGCGATCCTGGCGTTGTCGCACTGACCGTTGAAGGGCGGTGCATACTGCCGGCACTTCCTGTCCTGTGGTGTCCAAAGTCGTTGTTCTGCTGCTGCGTCGCCTCGAACAACAGGTTCAAAGCATCATGGCCGCTGAACACCTCTTTCGTTTGCAAAATCGACGCTGCCTCGTTGCTCACTTGCTGGTCTTCCTCCTCGTTTGGCTGCTGTTGGTTTTCCGTCGGCCGGCGGAGTGGTTGGTACCTGCCTATTGATCCGCCCGGTGTGAGAGGTTGCTGGCCGCCTAGACCACCCGTATTTTCTATGCTTGGCTGGGAGATTTGTATCGGCTCCGGACGGCGCGCGCTCGGAGGCGTGACATCGTTCGGCGCAGACCTGAGCCGTTTCCTGCCGTTGCGAATCTCATAATCCGACAGGTCGGCCTCGTCGTACTCTTCGCCGGGAGCGGTAGACTTGCGCTTCCTGCGAGTAGCGGAGAAGAAGCATTCCTTGCTTTCGCGCCTACATCGCACGCAAGGCGGTTCGTGAGGGTTGTCGACGGGGCCGAGGTCGCATCGGACCTTGCGCCGTCTGCAGGGTATGCAGGCCTGATAAGTGCGCGTGTGCGGTTGCGCGGAGGTTCGTGGTGGAGGCGAGGCATTGGAATCTGCGCCAGAAGGAATGTGGGGTGCGGCGTCCATGTTGGCTGATTGAGGTCCCGGCTGGGGACGCTTTCTGTCGGTCGTAGTACTGTCAATTGGATAGGAGGGTCTAGTTCCAGGATTGGCTTGAATACAGATGTTCGCATGCCGTATAATTGGCCCAGCTTGAGGAGTATGTATAAAAGATGAAACCGAGTCCCTGCGGAGTTTTGTGGTCCACGTTGTGCGGGACGGCGGAGGCGCGCGCTCTCTGGGCAGCCTCGTGACTTGAAGAAGATGGATTGTGTCAGCAGCGCACACTCGCACACTTCACTTGGGGGGCCCAGCGGTGAAGAAGGCTACGTGGCGATTGCGTGCTTGGAGGCTCACGGAGGCTCACGGAGGCTCACGGAG